GACCAAGCAGGGATTTGAATCAGCTGTTATCAGCACCCTGTAGCTGCTATACTATGCTGAGCCTAAAGTGTGGAGAAGCCCGTTGTGATGGTACTGTGTCTTATACTTCTCTTGCACTTGCAGGAAATGCAAAGCTGTTAGGTGCCTTTGTGAAACACTGCCAACTTCCAGGCTATTCTTTGGCTGTAAACCAGCCTTTGGCAGACCACATGGAAACAGAGTGTGTTGCAGGCTCACAAAGTCTAGTGTCCAGGGTAATTTGGAGCTTTAGTAAAGTATTGAAAGCCTCCTTCAGTAAAATGGTAGCAAGCTTAAAATACATATACGCACTAAGATGTGGGAATATTTTCTTCCTTTTGTTTCTCCTGGGTTTGGAACTTGTAGAGATCCCCAACGCGTAATTAAAATACACAAAGGAGTTTAGTTGTCTCAGGAAATGTCCTAAAATTGGTCCCTGCTTTACTCCTTTAGTCAGTTTGGCTGACATTTAATCCTTGTAAGGTTGGGAATTCTGGTTTCTGCACTGGAACTACTAAATGTCATTTGAATACATTGCCACATTCAATAGACTGAAGGAGCTTTCATCTGCAAAGTGTCAAAGTTCAGGATGGGCCGAGCCTGGAAAAAAATGGTTTCTGCCATCTCGGTCCAGTCCGGCTGGCTCAGATGAATGTGCACCACCCAGATGTTTTTCCTTTGCTTTTTTGAGAAAGTCATGCTTCTTGTTCCAGGCAATTGTTTGCAGTTAATCTGTGGAGGGTTTTTTATGGTTAGCTCAGTGCATGGAGCTACATATTGTATAGAACACATGAGTCTGCCCCTCTCTAATGTCTAGTTCAACATAACCTTTATCCCAGTGCCATTATAAAGTGCGCTTCAGTTCCTCTGGCGGCAGCAGCTAATGAAATGCACCTTGTTGGGACACCATGTAACTTGAACAAAACATTACAGAAGGATTATTTGGCAATGCCGTTTCATGGCGTGGATTTCACTGGGCTTCATGGCTTCTTGACTCTGATGGGTTGTTGTTTTTTCATACCTTGTACATCTATGTCTGCATACTGAGGATCCACTCACTGCATCCTAAGAAGGCTGTAGTCTATGAAAGCTCGTGCTGGGATACAATTTTTGTTAATCTTCAAGGCGTCACAGGAAGGGAAGGCAGCATGGTATAGCCCAATTTCATCAGATCTTGAAAGCTAAGCAGGGTCAGTACTTGAAAGGAAGACCACCAAGGAAGACCCCGCAAAGGAAAGCACTGGCAAACCACCACTGCTTAAGCACTTGCCTTGAAATCCCCTTGTTGGGTTTGCCATAAATCAGCTGTGACTTGATGGCAGTTTGTACACACAAGGTGTCACAAGGGTTTTGTTTATTTTTTTTCTCAAAAATGGCAGCAGCCCCTTTATCTCTGAATTGTGTGGTTCTGTTCCATGAAAGCAGGAGATGGGTGAAGCCCCTGCAGTGGCATAGTGGAAGAAAAGAATATGGACAAAGTACAGAGGAAGCCATTGTGCCACAGGGGCAAGCTACATCAGCTCTTATAACAAGGCTCTGTTACAAGAACAGCGCTCTAATCAGCAACTAGTTGTACTAGAGGGTCACAGTGGCAGACCAGATGCTCCGGGAAGCCCTACAAACTGGGCCCGAAAGCCAGGGTCTCCACTGTTGCTACTGCCCCCAGTACTGGTATGCAGAGTGCTACTGCCTTTGAACATGGAAGTTTCTACTTTGTCATCATGGCTGACAGCCACTGATAGGCTCCTACTCCATGAGTTTGTCTAATCCCCTTTTAAAGCCACGGCTGCTCCATCCTGTGACAGTGAATTCCACAAGCGATTTATACCTTGCCGGCACCCCTGTTGCCTATGGGTTGGCAACAGGGGGAAAGGAATAGTTGGGGCTCTGCAGTGGGCTGGATATGGTTGGGGGTGCCATTCACTAAACCTTGAGTAGAAATAAGGATGATCCAAACTATTCTTTAACCATATGGAAACTTGTTCTGTGGTAGCTGGCATGATAGGCAATGTTAGGACCCAGGTGAAAATATAATAGGGGAAGAGTTGCAGGGAGCAATACTAAGCAAGTCTACTCATTTGTAAGCCCCCTGTTATTCAGTGGAGCTTACATCCACGAAGGTGTCTGGAGAATTGCAGCAACTGGCACCTTGAGTTCTACAAATGTGCAATCTAAGTCTCTCTTGGACGAGATCAGTTAATAAGAAATAGAGGGTAAAAAACTTATCTTAAATTACTGTGACAGGATTTAAGGCATTTTTCTCCCTTAAATGGGGAGACCCAGTTCCCATTTATTTCAGTTGTAAATTAAATCAAGGGAGGGCAGAAATATGTTTGTCTTTTCAAAGCAGGCTGCCACAGTTTCTTTTTCTTATTAGCTGTTCATCCTCATCATGGCTCATGAAAATACTTCTCTGAAGTCCAATTATAATAAATTCATGGATGACTCATGCTAACCACATTTGCAATTCCTCTTCTCCCCGCAGAAATCTTGGATAGTCCCACTGCACTTTATCCTTTCCTTTGTTTTTGCCTGATAAGTTCATCAGGATCTGTAGCTTGCTGGGTTAATGTTTAGGCATATGTTCTTATTTAAGGGTTTTGTACCTCACCTGATTGAGAAGTTTTTTGGAGAGGGGGTTGGTAGCTTGTAATAAATTATAACCTTTGGTTTAAGAGAACAATTAAGGCTTACTCATGATCCCAAAAGCATGGAAATTGTAAATCGAGGCTGCACCTTAATTTTCACACCATGTTAGCAGTGCAGACATTCTAAAGTCTGACCCTTTATAGTCCCCTGCAAAGTTGGGTTCTACAGCTGAGTCGGGTTAATAAAACGTTGGGTTAATAAAATTTGGTTACATGTGGAAATTAATTATTAATGATGAAAGGGACAAACTGTCAATGTAGAATGCCTACCTGAAGAAACAGATGCTAACACCAATGCCAGTTGGGGGGGAAATCCTAAGTGCCTTAACTGTTCTGTTAAATCAAAGCTTTATTTTAGAACATTTTTGAAAAGGAAAAATCACTGAATTGTGTTTGGGAGGGCAGGTAGACAAAATGTATCCCCACAATTATTCTGTACTAGTTTGCATTTATATAGCCTGCCAGTAATTGCCTGTATCAGCCATCTTCTGAAGATCCAATAAGCCTCTGACCCTGTATTATGTATGTGTCACTGCAGAATGATGGTGCGTTGAAGCCAGAATGGATCAGGCTGCAGACAAGAAATTCTGTATGCACCATACTCCATAGGAGCTATGGGGGGAGTTGCCATGTCACTTATATATTTGCAAAACACCATGATCATAGAAATGCGCAATGACAGGTGTCAGAAGGCACTCAATCAAAAGTCCCTACAGAGTGCACGCCTACAGAACTGCATTTCCATACCACCAACTGCCCTCTCACTTCCCCCTCCCCAGCTAACCCATCTCTGCTCCAATTGTAGCTCTGGCTGCGTCCTTTGCTGGACAAGTAGTGGTCATATATTTCTTTAGTGTAGCCATTCTATAAAGGCTTAGTTTACTGGCTGTGATAATAACTTTGCTGTACCTCACTGGGAACTTTGAAACCTTTTATCTGTACTTGTGCCTTTGCAACAGTGTAAACTGGAAAAACTAGAAACTGAAGGTATGTCTTAGGTATACAAAAAAATTGGTTGACTACTTGTGAATCTTAAAAGATAGAAGATACCTTTTATCTTTTTCTTCTCCCTGCTCCCAACTTCTATGAATTCTCATTCTTTCCTCCTGTGATCCTTTTAACCGATAAGGAGCATGCCCCTCCCCTTTAATAGTCACCATTTCCTTGGAAGGGGGAAATTAGGCTGAAAAGATGGACATCTGGTAGCAGATGTCCGCTTGAGAACAGTCTCCTTCCTTCACCAGAACCTTCTTTAAATGGGATACTTTAGGTAGGGAAGAAGCCTTCTCTGTCACCATGGAAAGAATCCCAGGCTGCCATCAAGCCCAGTTCCCAACTCAAGCCCAGTTCTCAACTTAGGGTTGCCAGGTCTGGGTTGGAAAATACCTGGAGACTTTGCGGGTGGATCCAGGAGAGGGTGGGGCTTGGGGAGGGGCCTCAGCATGGTACAGTGCCAGAGAGTCCACCCTTCAAAGCAGCCATTTTCTCCAGGGGAACTGATCTCTGTCACCTGGAGATCAGATGTAAAAGCAGGAGATCTCCAGGCCCCACCTGCAGGCTGGCAACCCTATCTCTGGTGACATGGGTGACTGACATTTTGCAATGAATAGTATTGCAGGAGGGAGGGAGGGAGGGAGGGAGGAATGTGTGGAATTGAGCTTGAAGGGACATGTGTCCTGTTAGATAAATATATTTGTACCCTAATTAACCTTATACATAATCTCTTTTTAGTAGCAAGGGAAATTTGTTCCTTCTCTACAGAAGAAAAACATGGTTGTGTCGGATATTTTGTGGTTTAAAAGAATCCAAAGACTCCACTGCTTTCTTCTGCCCTCCATATTGTTTGCGGGTCTGTGTATATAAACACATTATACAATGGCATTATACAGAGTTTGTAGAACATATGATTTGCATGTTGAAGATCCCAAGTTCCATTCCTGGCATCTGTAGAATTTTGGATGGTAGGGCTGGGAAAGATCTCTGGTGTGACCTTGGAGTGAGGCTGTCATCACAATCTGACCAGTGGTAAAACTGAGGATATACCGACTACATACATAAATGCACTGTACATTGTGCTTTACAGAATAATACAAGCAAATGATAGGTTCCTGCTCCAAGGAACCTGCAGCTCAAATTTTGATAGCAAATGAGACAACGAAGGAAAGGACACCTCCCCTTTTTCAATGATTAATTTTGTTTAAAACCTAATGTTCCCTAGTTTCACGCACTTTATTTTCAGTGTCCTGTTTAATGTGGTTATCTTTGCAGTGCACATCATGAGACTGTAAACACACACACATATTAAAACCTCTCTTTTCTGTACATTATGCTTAGGTGCTGTGCAATGGACCAGGAACATGTGTCCCAATCTGCATATCTGCTCTTCTCCTGAAGCTGCTAGGACTAAAGAGAGTGACCATTGTGTATGTCGAGAGCGTCTGCCGTGTGGAAAACTTATCTCTGTCTGGAAAGATCCTTTACCACTTTTCAGATCACTTCTTTGTTCAGTGGCCTGCTCTGAAAGAAAAATACCCCAAGTCTCACTATCTTGGGCGAATAGTATGACAACAAACGTTAACAGGGGTTAAGACCACCACTGAATTCCTTAGCAATGGAACCTGCTCTTATGTTACCTGTCCATTGCACCCAGCTTCAGCAGAGGATTCCCTTCTCTCCCACGCCTGTCATGGAGCCCACAAGGAACAGAGTCAAAGGCAGACAAGCTTCCAGAACAGACCTTGCTTCAGCTGAGAATCACCTTCAACAACACTTTTTTTGGTGGCAAATCTGAATTACACTTTGTGTAGAATTTTAAAATCTGTGAGCTGCTTGAGGAGCCACTTTGGGGTTGAAAGGCAGGACAAAAGTGTAATAAAGTGCCACACATTTTTATGGGGGCTGCATAAATCCAGTTTGTGGTGTCACTTTATGTCTGCAGATATTCTTTTTCCCAGGCCACATTACTCACTTCACTTTTCCCCTTTCCCATTAGAAATTCTTTGGGGGAAGGAGGATCAAGGGGTTAGGATCAAAGAATCAAATGAATGTAGAAGAAGTGGGACAGGGCCTACATGGGGATCTAATTTCTAGTTACCAGACACGTTTGGTGGCCCACTTTATGGAGAAAGCCACTTGCAAGTCTTGGCTTAGTTTGTATTCAGGTGGTAATGGGGGGGGGGAAGGAATAGGTGCTACTCCCAAGAAGCTTGTATGAAGCATACGAATGTATTAGTTCTTTCATTCTTTCTTTTGTTCCTAATGCACACACTCAGTTAAAAGACAACATTCAGTTCAACCCAGGAAACAGGGATTTAAGGGTGGTGCTTCCACAGTCCCTCATTCCTGGTCACACATAGTATTTTCCTTCCACGCTATTGCAGGTGTTTCCTCCCATTCTTCTGGCTTGTCAAAGACTGCCATAATTAAAGAACAGGTTGCCTGACTGCTGTAGAATTAAGTCTCACTGAAACGGAGAAATTTCACTAAGATGACTCTGGTGAAATGCTTTCTGCACCCTGGCTTGCCCTTCCACACTGGCCTGAGGCCTGTAAAAAGTTAGCTGGGCTGTCCCATATTTTCCTGTACTTGAGCCTGCCACCTCCTTCCTCCCTGGGCAGTGTAAGACTGTGCTCTATGCAGGGATCCTGCAGTGACTTCCATGGGGCAGTGGAATGGGTGGGCACGATGCTGCGCTGGCACAAGAGGCTTGCTTAATTGAACCCAAGAATGGTAAGAAAAAAGTTCTTGTTCTAGCACAACAACCCTCGTTTCCTGTATGCAAGCAATCAAATCCCTGGTGCGTATTTTGAGCATAAAGGAAACAGTCATATTAACTTGGCTTTGTGACAGTTTTCACTCTGCAGCCTTTTCCAAAACCCCAAAGCATTAAATCCAGTATCATTTTTCCTTCTGGCTTGTCAAAGCCAGCCCTGTGATCCAACATGCTCTTTTTAAAGCCATGTGTTTAATTGTTAAGATAAATAAAAAAGGGTAGCAGATGTCACAAAAAGATGCAGCACTTGCACATGAGAGAGCGTGCAGGGGGTACAATGCCCAAGCTGAACATAAAATCTTTTAACAGCATTAAATTATGAAAAGCAAAGTCTCATTAGAAAGCACTGAGATTTTTGGCACACTTTTGCAGTCCTGCATGTGATACTTAAATGAGTATTAATGATGCAAAAAAACCCAAAAAAACAACCCTGAAGAAAAATACTACTTTCGTCAATGAACTTGATTTTTTGTATATTTACATTTGGAGTGTTTAAAAAGGTCTCCCTTTTTACTTAATAAGTTCAGGACACATTTAGTTAATACAAGGAGCTTTTTTTCTTCTTCTTAAATGGGAAACAGCATTTCATATCAAATATGCCGTATCATAAAATGCAGATTGTGGGAGACTTTCTTTTTGCTAAGGCTGCTGTACATTTTTTGTGGTCATCTAGCAAAATGTAATCTCATACATGATTCTGTTTATAAAAGAATTTAAACACATCTGTCATCTGCATATGCAGACACATCACTGAGCAAATTTGGCTTTAAAATGCACTACTAGAGACAGCTTCTATATATAGTTGGGGAAGGTGAAGAACTGGAGAACAGGATAGTATTATAGAGGTGAAGGTGCTTGAAGATAAGCTGAGGTTAGTATGAAAAAATCACTGGGGTAAGATTTCCCTTCTTTTTATCGCACAATGGTGTGTGATTGCTGATCTCTGGGGCAAGATGAGAAGGGTCTTGAGCATCTAGCCTGGGACTTCAGCAGCCCAGTGCTTATAGTGGGATTGCTCCATAGCTCTGTTTCCTGAAATTTGGGCATAGGTGAACAAGAAATTCCCCTTTGCCCCAATGCTGCATTAGGGGATGTATGGGGTATACATTTGTATTCAGAAGATGTAGGCCTTGCACCTTCTAGAATATTTGTAAATTGCAAAGGGATCAAATGGCCCAGTTTCCTCATACTGTTCCATTTTATTTATTCCACCCTTATTCTTTTAACTGATATTCCTTTTACTCATATGTTGTCTTATGGGTAGCCCTGTTTAGCTACTTTATCTGTAGACATAGGACTTTCTCAAAGAAAGAATTAAGGGTTTAAAACAGAGGTTTTTCCTCGAAGAATGCCATCCTGATGTTAGATGTTTCCCAGGTGGCAGAGGAAGGGCCATTATCAGAAGCCATTCAAGAATTTGATGTTTAATATCCCATGTGGTCTGGTTCAGATTTCTGAACTGCTCAGCTTTCAGGGAAACTGGAAATCAACATAGTTGTGATGATGCCATAAATCACAGAATTTGGCTTGGCACAGGCTTCTGAGAATTCTGCCTTTTTCTTTGCCTTGTGAAGAAAACTTTTAAAAGGGGCAAGTCAGTGTCCATTCACAGTGCAAGCATACGGCTTCCAGAAGGCAGTGGTGCGATTTCTTAACCATCTCCCTTTCAAAGTTTACCTAGTAGAATATATAGGCCACTTCCACGTGGAAATGTTTATCCACATCAGCTACCATACTGCAGCACCTTTTTGTAGCCTCCACAGAACACTATGGTCTAACTGTGCTTCACTCATTCATAACCTTCTAGTTCCTTTGAGCTCCAAGCTTTCATTTTTTAAAAGGCCCATGGTTCTTTTTATTGCAGAGATCCACCTTTCTGCTTACATCTCTGCAACAAAAAGGGCTTGATACTTTTTTTTAAAAAAAATGAAAGCTGGGAATTCAGAGGAACCTACAGACTGGTATAACATTTTAATGACTTAGCAATTACTGATTTCTAAAACTAGTTCTCATGTTGGTGGGAGGAATGGTGTCTACAGGAGGCTGAGGCAAGGAAAGTGCAGGGAAAACTGCTGTGCGGCCTCTCTGCTTCTATTGTGAGTGTCTCTGCATCTGCAGAAGCAGTGAGAGCTACAACGAGAAGCATCCCTGTGTGGAAGCAACACAGTGACTAAAAGAATGAGTCATGAGTTAGGAAGTTGCCAATTCAAATGTTACCCACCTGTGCACTGTGGATGAATTCAATGTCAGCCAATGTTTCAACTTCAGCATCCTGTCTGTAATGTAATAAACTGGCCCACTTTAAAGGTGAGTTGTAAATATTATGAAACACTTTCAGCACTTAGAAGAAGTGCGATAAAAATACTAAATATTATTCATCAATGCTTTGTGAATCACATTAGTTCTTCCCCATATGACACCAGCAGTCCCGGCCACAGAAAACTGAGGTGATAATCCTAAACACACTTTGAAGCAAGCAAATCCCATTGAAGCAAAGGGATTGCTTCCGAATAAAGATGCTTAGAATCAGGTGTGTAAATTCATGTCCTGGTGAAGTAGCAGCCAGTAACCAAAACCAAAGTGCACACATTTGGCTGCATTCAGACATATTGTGTTGACACATGTATGAATCCAGCTTATCTATCCTTCCTGTGTGAAGAATCCCAGTTAAAAATTAGCTCCAGCTATGTGTGATATATAAATTCAGGCATGCAAGTTAACTGCAATTAGTTGTCCTTCTGCAAACTGGGATTCTTTATAACCTGGTTTCTGAGGGGAGAACTACTTTAGTTGATCCACATGCTTGTTGTTAGAAGTAGCTGCAGTTAATTTTTAGCCAGGATAGTCCATGCATGAGGGCAGAGGAGAGGAGTGAGATATAGGCAAGCCTGGAAACAAGCCAGGTTTGGGCACATGACAGTTTAAAGTAGGGTTTAATGAGATGTCTGCATACAGCCTTGGTTTATTTGTAATTTAATCTGCATAACATGCAAACAGCTCCTATGCATAGTTAGTTGGAAGTAAACTCTTTTTAGTTCATTGGGTCTTACATATAAGTGTGCCCATTAGCTGGTTATAGCTTTCTGGATTTAGTGCAGCATTACCGACATCCTATTATCTACCAACAGTTAAATACAGTATTTTTTTTAATTATTATTATTATTATTAATTGCATCTTTGTCCCAAGGGCTTGCCCTGTCACATGATCCCTTCTCTCCATAACTTATCCTCACAAAGATCCTAGGAGGTTGGTTGAGAGGCAGTGGTAATATATCAAAAGTCACCCATTGATTGTAATGGCAGAGGAGGGATTTGATCTTTGGGTTCGCCATTCTAAGTTTTTTTTGACAGTCCAAACTAATTTATTGGCTCTCAGTATTCTTCCTGGGTTTAAAAACCACAACAGCAACTGCAAATGCTGCGTGAATTTGAAAATCTTGTCTGTCTGCTGCATAAAGTATTTCCACTCAAGAGTGAATTTGCAAACCTGTTTTCTTCACTGTTACTTTTTAATTGTTTCCATTAAATCCTCCCTCATCCATTTAAGCAGGTGTGCAAATAAGGATCCAAAGTCTTGAGTAACTGTCCAAGATTCTTGTGGGCTGGTTTAATTGGAATGGAATAATTTAAGCAACACATCTCCACAATAAACTTTACAAACCCTGCACTGAATGGAAGCTGATAAAAGTACTTTCTTGGGAAGAATTCTGTGCTGTGTGTGTTGGTCAGCATTTAACATCCTTGGGAACAACCTGACCCTGGCTTCTACTGATAGGTATTAGCGTTTGTCCTAGTAACTCAAATAAGGGATATGTTATCAGGACTTTCTGCAGAGTTGCATATTGTTTTGGTAAATAAAGATGATGCATTGTATGTTATGGTTAAACCTCTTTTGATTCCTTGGGAATGCATATATATATGCTGCTTTTGGGTTTTATGTCTCCTAATGACTTTCCACACACCTGAATTACTCCTGATTTCCTTGGGAGTTGATCCACAAGCAGTGGAATTGGTTTGGGCAGGGTTCTTCCACATGTCTGCCCTGTGCCTTCTCCACGTAGTTTAAAAATAATGAGGATTTTAAGGGAAGGTGCTGTTGTTATCGGTGGTGTCAGAGCACCCCCTTATTTTTTAAAAAATGGCCCTAAAATATCTATATAAGGCTGTAGGGTAGTAATGACAGTTAA